GTCACAGAACCTCTGAAATTGATTAGAAAAGAAGAAAATAAAAAGAAAATCAGTGATGATGAAGAAATTAAGAAACTAATAAGTTCTTTTTTCCACTGAAGTGATTTAATAAAAGAAGAAAATAAAAACAATAAAATCTGATTTTATTGTTTTTATTCTGAACAATAGAAACACATCAGATCTAAAATAAAACAACGGATTTTAAAACCTTAAAGTTGAATCTGTTTGTTTTGATTCTTCAGGTTTTAATCTGGATTTTCTCACATGAAAAACAGCAGTTCTCAAAGTTAGGGCTCGGGTCCCATCAGGGGTCATAAAACATCCAGTTAGAGTCCTCAAATTACCAAAAATAAATTAAATGTAAAGAAAATGATAAAAAAGTCATGTTTTACATTATAACTGTTACAGATAACAAATAACTTTTATTAGTTTTATCACTGTTCGTGTTTTAAATGTTTTAAATGTTTTATTTTAACTGAGTCTTTATCTTTAATTTAAAGATTTATGAAATTACTGGATTAGAAATACTTTAAAGGTTATATAGAGTTTGTTCCTTCAAAATAAAAGCTCCTCAGCAGCTCAGAGGAGGCACGCGCCGCTGCTTTGCATCTGAAGACGGTCCTCAGTTCAGGCGCGTGGCATCTGGAGGAGCCCGCGTGCGTGTGCTGCTGCGTCATGGCAACAGAGCTGATGTCCCATCTGTCCCTGCGGCGGGGGGGGGGGGGCACCTGCTGAGTAAAATAATCGGATTTTTTCTGGATTAAATGAATTTATCTTCAGAGGTTTCTGAGCAGCAGGTTCGGGTTCTGGTCTCTGCTGGACCCCAGGTTTAACACCTGTGCACGCGCCCGCATGGCCTCGGGAGCTGAAACAGATCCGAGTCACAGCTGGACCTGTTTCCAGATGTTCTGATCCCAGATCAGAGTTTTATTGTGAAATCAAACTTTTATTTGTTTGCAGCTCAAACCGGAAGTGATTTAATCTGTAAAAACTGAAAGTTTGGAGTTTTTCTTTCTGATTAAATCCTCAGACAGACTGAGGAGCCTCTGGACAAAAGCTCTGCAGAGGGGAGGGGGTGGACTGGGTTTACAAGAGGGAGGGGGGTATTATGG